CTTGACTGGAATCGAACCCGGGTCCCTTCAGTCCCCAAGCCGACGCTCTATCCATTGAGCCAAACCGGTCTCGGCAAAGATTAATATCTTGTTGAAGAACTAAATGTCAATATATTAGGAAGATACAAGTAGATGGGTATTCTGACACATGGGCTTGCTTAATAAAGCTTTCAGAGGTAAAGCCATTCCATACTCCCATCCTGATGATATTATTGTATACATATATACTTATGCTCAGAATCACAGGTACTCTCCATAGCATGATTCAACTAACTAGTATTTGTTGAGGGCCTATAATATAGTATGCACTATGGTATTACTAAAGTGAACTAATATTGGGAGCTATTGAAGTGAACAAAAATTCATTCAACTCACTTTTATTGAGTGTCTATTCTAAGGCACACACTGAGGATTCAAGGTGGGACCAAAAATTGTTTCTGCCATTGCAGTTTATAATGTAGTGGAGGTAGAGAAGACTTGCAGGAGTTGGTGACATATGGAGAGCTAAAGTGAGAATATCAGATGAAGGCCCCTTCTTAGAGACAAAGAGAGAAGAAACAGCATGCTATTAACAGGAACATATAATCAGTAAGGGGGAATGTTGGGAGATGAGGCTGATAAATAGGTAGGGTCCAGTTCTATAGTCACATTATGGAGTTTAGATTCTACCCTGTAGGTAAACACCATAATAGTCTTAAGCAGGAAAGTGGTGTCTTAACCTAGCAACAGGTTGGGATGGATGTGAAGGTGACAAAGATGAAGGTAAGACAACTATTATAGTTAGTGTGATGAATAAAGCCTAGATCAGGGAAGTGGTGGTAGGGAAGAAAATAACAAAAGTTTGGGTCATATATTGTTAATACTTGCTGATTGCTTAGTTGTGAAAATTGTGAGTGGGAAAGAGGAACCAAGGATGAATAACAAAATCAGTAGAGGTACACTGAACTGAGATGGAGAATACAAAAATAGGTGAGATTTTTTTGAGGGGCTAGGATAGGGGTGTGAGTGTGTATGTGGGTGGAATGAGTTCTGTATTAGGTATGTTGAATTTAAGATAACGATGGGTCATAAGGTGAGGAAAACCAAGTAAGAGTCTGAGCAGAGTCTTGGTAGAGATACATATTTGGGAGACATCAGGTAATTGAAACCATGAAGAGTCAAGATGAGATCATCTAGGGAGCAAGGAATGAGAAAAATAGTAGGCCGAGAGCAAAACCCTGTGTAGTACTGGTATTCAAGGGGCAAGAGAGAAAGAGAAGCCCATGAATGAGACAGTTAATATTTAGCCACAAAAATACAAGGAGAACAATGAGAGTGAAATGGCCAAGGAATTTGGGAGGGGAAGGGGAGGTTTGTGGCTGGAAATTTTTTTTAAAAATCAGGATTTAAACACCTTTAGGCAAAATATATACTTTCCAGTTCAAGTAAGGCCCCATCACTAACTCACGCTGCATCATTGTCTGTGACCTGTCTTGCCTCTGAAGGCCTATGTGCTTGTGACTCCCAGAATAGAAGCCCAAGAAAGGGAGTCATTATAATTATCATATGCAGCCATGAGGAACAGAAAGGGAATAAACGATGCCCACTAATTTAGCAACAAGAGGGTCATGGTGATCTTAAAGTCAGTTCATCTGTGGTCATGGTGGCAGAATCCAGATTACAGAGAGGTGAAGAGAAAATAGATATGGAGAATGTAGCAGAACTTAAGAAATTTGGAAAAGGAAGGAAGAGAGACTAGACAGTAGATAGAGGGGAAATATAGGTCTAGGAAGGCTTTGGTTTTATTTTGTGTTTAAAGAATTATTCTCTTGTGCTCGCTTCAGCAGCACATATATTAAAGAATTATTCTCTTAATATATTTACAAGCTGAGTCAATAGAGAAGCAGAGGAGTATTAGAAAGACAGGAGCTGCCTGATGGAGCATGATCTGAGAGAGGGCTAGGGAAGGTACAAATAGAGAGACTCTCTAACCTCAGAGGTTGGAGGGAGAGAGCACAGGAATTCAGACCTAATTAAGATCCAATGCAGGTTTTTTTTTCCGCAGGGGAAAAAAAGTGACATAATTAAACTGTGTTTTAAGAAAATTAGTTTGGCACAAGCATGCAGGATAGATTAGAGTGGGGAGAGGTGGCCGTCTGTGCCAATAATTCAAGTAGAAGATGATGGCAACCCAAAATAAAGCAATGCCAGTAGAAATAGATAACATTTAAAAAATCTAATAAACATATCAAAATGCACGATGACATAATTTTGGGATAGATGGACATTCAAAGAGAATGAAGAGGTAAAATGACTTAAGGATTTGAAATATTACCCCAGGAAATTAGAATGGTTGTATCGGGGTCAGAAGGGGCAATTGGAATGCACAGCCAATGTGGGGAGGGGAAATGCTGGGTTTGAAGTATACTGAGATTGAAGTGATGGTTCTCAAAATTTAAATTTTGAAAAAAATAAAAACAACTAAGTCCTCTATAGAACAGATGACTGCACAGAGGATGGAAAAAAGAAGAGGTGAGACAGAATAAGAAATATTTTATTCAGATAGGCAACTCTAACACTCCTAAGCCAGAAAAAAAAATTTTTTAAACAGAACCTGATAAAGATGTCTCAGAATTAAATTAACTATTTCCTAAGGATCTTACTTTACCTACTAAAAAAAGGTTTTTCTACCATTGACAGACCAGAGTCTCAGATCAAGACGTTCTCCTAAACATTTAATCTTTTATCAAATCTCAGACATTTGATGTCAAATGTTGAGAGAATATGTACAATACAAAATAATTTTCCAAACTATATGCATTAGTTAGCAATTAAATACTGGTTTGCTGTTTTTCAGGTTTTGGTTTCAATTAATAGCAACAGTTGCTACAAACACCACTATTTCACACTCCTAATTCCAGAGTCTTTAAACTGGGAGGAATATTATACCTATCACAAGGACCTGCACATGGCAAGTGTCAGTGCTTTGTTTTTAATTACAAATAGGTTGGTAAGTACTTCACCATGATTGTGTGAATGGAACCACAAATGAGTTTCAGGAAACTTAAATTCTGTTTTGTTGTTGTTATTGTTTTTTTTTGTTGTTTTGTTTTGCTCCCTGTCTGTTCTCTGAACTTTAGAAAATAATAGGGTGAGGAGTCCTGGAGTATATAATATAGCCTGGAATAAAACCCTTTTTCTGTTCACTCATGTTAAATAATCTACATGAAAGTAACCTTTTGCACCATAATTAGTTGGGGTTAAAAAAAAGTTTCCCTAGTGATAAAAGGGATGAAAGTAAAACAGTGCAGAAAGCTGGCATCGGTCATTGTAATCTATTGATATCATTCTTGGACCAAGAAAAACTATTAGAATTGCCTAACCAAGGAGCAGGTGTTAAAATATCCCCAAACTCATCCTGTAAATGATCTTTCTTAATACATTTTAAAATTTAAAATCTTTAAAAGTCTTTCTTAATATATTTCATGCAAAGAGCACAAAAATATATTACAAAAAATAAACCCAACATGTTAAAATCAAAAGCTAAGGTGATGGGCTCTGGCCAGTTGGTTGGAGTGTCATCCTGTGCACTGAAGGGATGTATGTTTGATTGTTTGATTCCCGGTCCGGCACAGGCCTGGGTTTCAGGTTCTGTCTTAGTTAAGGCCTGTGGAAGAGGCAACCAATCGGTGTCTGTCAGTCTGTCTGTCTTTCAAAACAGTAAAACATATCCTTGAGTGAGGATTTAAAAAAACTAACATGATGGAGGGAGGTGGTATAATATGTGTATTATAACATATGATTTCAGATAATACAAACTCAGTTGAAAATCAAAAGGGGTAGGGGGAACAATTATTAAAATTAGAGGCAGCATGACTTGATAGTAAAAAAAATAATAGCTCTATTTGAAAATGCAGTATAAGATAGCGTAGTTAAGAGGATGAACATGACACAGTACTCAAACTTTCAAGTATTTACAACCTAAGCACATAAAAATGAGAATGCAGTCTTCAAAGCCAAGAGAACCATTAACATTTCTTTTTGCTTTGCAGTTATTATGTTATGAGGTTCCCCTTTTTATTTTCTCAAATATTACCCAAAATTTCATTTTTGTCTTAAAAAACAAAAGTCATTCTGCATAAGTTTTCACAATATCATCCTCAGCTTCTGGGGTACCAATTTTCATATATATATTAATGTTTGCATATTTAACATTTTGGCATACACAATCTCTTGCAAGTATGTATCTTAAATTATCTCAGAGCTGAAAGGTTTTAGAAACCATCTATCCCAAAACCCTCATTTTACAAAGAGAGAAATAAAAACATAGAAATGGTAAGTAACCTGACCAAGGTCACAGGGTTAGAAAGAAGCAAAGCTGGGACTAACAACCAAGAGCCATCACTTTCAATCCATTACTCTTTCTACTTTTATAGCTGCCTTTCAACCTGAACCTCTTTCATAGCTGTCTTTCAACCTGAACCTCTAATTGTATGACATTTAGGGATAGTGAGAGTGATCGTGATCAGGACATGGAAAGGATAACTGTATTTATTCATTTAAGAATTGGATAGGAAGAATGGCTGGATGATTATGTAGGTGGGTGGGAATGTTATATCATATTTCTGTTTTGAAGAAACAAAGTCTTGTCAAATGTCACAGCAGTCACTTATTCCACCAGACACCAATCTTAGCAGCAAATAATCTGATACATCCTGCAGTTGAAAGAGTATTTTCACTTGCCAGCATACACAGAGAAGCAAGGGCACTCACCTTCTGGCTCCTAAACTCCTCATCCCCCTGACCTGCGCTCACTATTTACATGGCTTTGGTGCATCACATTTGCATTCTGACTTCCTAATACACCTCCCTCTCAGATTTCTCCATTTACTTCAGGTGTCATTTCCTAAATGTATGCTTCAGTAAGCCCCCCACCCCCTACTGCACTGGCCCCTTGATCACCTCATTTGTCTGTCGCCAAATCTCAGCCTTAAAAAACCCCATTACCCCCTCTCTCTTACACGGTGATGTGGCCGGCGCCCCGCACCAGTACAGGGTCGGGGGCATATCTCCGCAGGTGCTCCTCGCTCACTACCCGAGGCGGTGGCGGCGACTCCTCCTCTTGCTCTTTCTCCTCTTCCTCCTCCTCTTCTTCCTCCTCCTCATCTTCCTCGTCATCCTCGAGCCCCGATACCGACGATGACGACGACGGCGACGACGAGGACGAGGACGTGGCTGCTTCTTCCTCCTCCTCCTCAAGTTCCGAGATGGTGTCGAATTCCGCCATGTTGGGCAGCAAGATGCTCATCACGTGACCTCTCGTTCGCCGCCACCCTCAGGCAGAAGAGTTTGAACTTGCTGAGATGCTGGAAGTTCAGGGGGAACGCAATGAAGAGAGAGAAGTGTATGAAAGGGAACGGGTTTGAGGAGATGCGCCTGCGTATTATGGTAGACAGGATAGGGTTTGGAGGCGGGGGCACGATGGCGAAAAGAGCAAATCAGTGTACGCTTGCGCAGCTCTAAGTAAAGAGGGGCGTCTGTGGTGAACGCCTGGGAATTATGGAGGTCCAGTCTTCCAGTGCTGATCTTAATACTGTTCTTTGGTCTTCTGCTGCTTGTATCCGGAGGACTTACTAGTGTCTTCTAGTTTTACTTTCTACTAATTAATAATGAGTATTATTACTCTATCCCACCCCCATTACAGTATAAAAAAGTATATTCTGTAAAAGTGGGGTTCGAGCTTTGCCCCAAATATCTCAAGATACAAACCATTTTACGTTTGTTCAGCATTACAGTTTAAAATAATTTAGCATAAGAACTTTGCCACATTCTAGAGGTATTTTTATTCACATTTTACTGAAAAGAGAACTTTCTATTACTACTATTCATACTGTGTAATATTCATAGAGGACTTTCTAAGCTAGGTACTCGAATGTACATATCTCATTTAATATTTCATAACCTTATGAAATATGTATCATGATTATATCATTTTACAGAGGGAAAATCTAGATGCAGAGAGAACACGTAAGTTTTTCAAGGTTATGGAGTTACTAATTAATGGCAATTCTTACTTTAAACTTGTGGATCTCTTCTGATTCCAAAGCCTACTACTATTAATCAAAGGACTGAAATTGTTTGAATAGTCTTGGTAGAGTAGTGCCTTTTGGGCTGCTTCGTCGTCGTAGTCGTCTTCTTCTTCTTCTTCTTCTTTTTAAAATATATTTTATTGATTTTTTACAGAGAGGAAGGGAGAGAGATAGAGAGCTAGAAACATCGATGAGAGAGAAACATCGACCAGCTGCCTCTTGCACATCCTCTACCGGGGATGTGCTCGCAACCAAGGTACATGTCCTTGACTGGAATGGAACCCGGGATCTTTCAGTCCGCAGACTGACACTCTACCACTGAGCCAAACCGGTTTTGGCTGGGCTGCTTCTTGAAAGCTATTTGAATTTTGGAGATTTTTTTTTTTTGGGTGATTATGGAGGGGAGTGTGTGTCTGTGTGTGGGGGAGCCTTCCAACATAAGGAAACATTAATTAACATCATCCATTTTCCAGAGACTCAGCTATACTTTTTCACATACAATATTTCAATCAATCCTTAAACAATCCTGTGAGATAAGCATCATTGTATATATTTTACAGATAGCACAATAGAGTCTCAGGAAGTTTAAGTAATTTTTTAAGGTCTATGGTGATCTTTTGTCCAACATTTTTTAATTTCAAATATTCTATCTCCGCAGCCACTAAAATGATGTAGAAATCACATACTTTGAGTTTCCAACCCACGTCCCAAACTATTTCATACTTCCATGTCATAATTCAGGGATCATTAAGACACTAAAGGCACATATCTGCTAAGTTATAAAATAAATACTTTAATCCAAGCATTTGATAATAACTTTACTGCTCTTTCTGCTGCACTACAGTTGCATCCCAATTAGACTGGAGAAACAGATATAGCCATGCAGTATAGTAGTATAAACAAAGCATTTAAGATATATAAAGGTGAAAGAAATTAGTTGTATAAGAGGCATTGATCAAACCATTATCATTATTGAGGAGTTTGTGTTATTAATAACACAATGAAAAAAAAAGTTGTGCTGTACTCAAAAGCTTGATTATTTAAGAGCTTTAAAACTAAGTTGTAAGCCCAGCTGGTGTGATTAGGTGGACTGTTGTCCGGTACACCGAAAGTGTACAGTTCTATTCCCATTTAGGGAACATACCCAGGTTGTCAGTTCAAGCCCATGTCAGGGCATGTGCAGGAGGCAGCCAATTGATTTTTATCTCCTCTCTCTCTCTCTCTCTCTCTCTCTCTCTCTCTCTCTCTCTCTCTCTCCCTTCCCACCTCTCTAAAAATCAATAAAAATATTTTTAAATATTCAAATTATAACAGTTTATTAACCAATGTTACCCCAATAAATTCAATTAAAAAGCTGCTGGTTTACCTTCCAGGAAAAAAAAATAACTAAAAAGAAATTACTGTAGCACTATCATTAAGGAAAAGAAAAAAAATACTTTTTTATAATATAGAGAATTTACTAACCAGAAATTATCATTAAAGTTGGAACCTTAAAATGTTTTATAATAGCCTTCTGATAAGACATACATGATATAGTTGCCTTTCTTAGATATTAATAAATAATACGTTGTATTTTGTTTATGGGACTGGCATCCTTAGACTTAAAATAAAATTATTCTGCAACAGTTCTTTTCTTTCAAAAAACAAAAGAAGCTGTAAGTGGTACTAAAAATTTTTATACATTATCCATAAAGGCCCACTAAGTTAATGTCTAGAGTGATGTATTTTGCTGATTACTACTTCAACAGTAGTTTCTCTTTTCACCATTCAAGATTATGCTAGGAGAAGATACTTGAAGGAAAGAACGGGAAAAGAGTATAAAGGGTGGACTTTGGGGGGTGGGCGTCTCATAGTCTCTGGTTGGGGCAGTGGGACTCTGGCCAAAGTGATTTCCCTCTCTGAATCACAAGGGTGTTCAGGATCCTGTGGCTGGGGATGTGGAAATCTCAGGGTCTGTGGCTGAAATAATGTGACCCTTTTCAGGGAGGCAAGTTCTCAGTAATTCACCAAGCTGTCCAGAGGTAGGCAGCTAGGATATGGATGTTGTGGATCCTACTCAGGAGCTGTGCTCCCCTGGTTGGAGAGGCATATGCCCAGTGGCAGTACACAGAGGAGGACAGGAGCCTTCTGTTCGGGGATGTGATATCGTGAGGCCCACATACTGGATTGTAGCAATTGTGGAGTTCCCCCAACCCCGTGGAGGGAAGCGTGCTGGTTTCTGCTTTGGTGGATGTGCTCCCTTGGTTGGATATGCATGCCCAATGGCTGCTTACAGATGCACCCAGGACCCGTTTGCTGGGGCAGTGGACTCAGGAGTCCCTTGTGCTGGAGCAGCACTACTGCGGGGACGGGATGCCAGCAACTGGGATTGTGCCTTGTGGCAGTTCTGAGAAGCACCTGGGGGCTGTCTTCCAGGACATTGGTCTCAGGGGGCTTGCACACTAGATTGGTGCAACTGCAGTGACGAGGTCAGCAGCTGAGGGGTGGCAAATCTGAGTTTCTGCTGCGAGGCCTTGAGCCCTTGGTTGGATACAAGTGCACTTAGTGGCAGCTCACAGAGGCACCCAAGAGTTGCCTGTTGGAGCAGTGTCCTCAGGGGGCCTGTGTGTTGAAACCACACAACATGTTGTCTGATGTCCATTGGTAGGCAGCCAGGAAGGTGGAAGTGCAAATTTCTACTGCCAAGGCCATGCACCCTTGTTTGGATATGAGCATGCTGAGCTGGGGCTCAAGGAGGCACCCAGAAGCTGCCTATGGGGCAGCAGACTCAGTAAGTCTGTGTGCTGGAAAGGCACAACTGTGGTGTCCAGAGGTCAGCAGCCAGGGAGGGGGATGTCCCAATTTTAGCTGCCTTGTGCTCTTGGTTGAAATTGTACATGCCCAGCAGTGGCTCACAGAGGCAACTAGGAGCCATCTGTTGGGGTGGTGAGGTTCAGGAGGTCTGCACATTGAAAATGCGTGACTATGGTGTCCTGAGGTTAGCAGCTATGGGGTGCAAAGACTCAATTTTTGCTGCCGAGGCTTTATGCCCTTTGTTGGATTTGTGCGTGCCCAGCGATGGCTCACTGAGGCACCTGGTAGCCTTTTGCTTGGACACTCAGTGTGGCCCTTCTGTTGAAGCCACATGACCCAGGTGTCTATGGGCAGGCAGCCAGAACACAGGAAATCCGAATTTCTATTGCTGGGGCTGTGCATCATTGTTTGGATGCAAGTGCACCCTGCAAAGGCTCAGAGAGGCACCCAAGAGCCACCTTTGGGGTGGTGGGCTCAGGAGGCCTGTGCGCTGAAAAAAACATGACTGTGGTGTCTGGAGGTCAGCAGCTATGAATTGGGTAGACTCAGTTTTTGCTATTGTGCCCTTGGTTGAATTTGCATGCGCCCAGTGGTGACTCCCAGGGGTACCCCAGGGCCGATTGCCAGGGCAATGCACTTAGGCCCTTGAACTGAAGCCATGTGACTGAGGTGTCTCTGGGAAGGCAGCTAGGAGTGGGGGAAGTTCGTATTTCTACTGCCGAGGGCCTTATGTCCTTGGTTGGGTTTGTGCGCGCCAAGTGGCAGTGAGCTCAGGCACCCAGAGGAATATTGGCACTGAATCAGAGTGATTGAGGTGGCTGCGGGAAGATATGTAGGAAGGGGGATCCAGAATTTATACTGCTGGGGCAATAGGCCATTGTTTGGGTAAGAGTGCCCTACGGCAGCACCCACTAGCGGCCTGTGGAGTGGTGTGCTCAGGCAGCCTGTGCACTTGAAAAGTGTGACTATGATGCTGCAGATGCAGGACTGAGGTGTCAGGAGTTAAGCCACTGGGGAGGGGGAAGTTGCACTTATTGCTTCAGGAGCATGGACCCTTGAAGGTGGAGGTCCCAGGATCTGTGGGTCTGCAGGTGAGGCAGGAGGATTTTGGCTGGAGTGGCTGTCGGGTCACAGGCAAGGTCCAAGGCCTGTCTGGGTGGTGGTGTTGATGAGTTCCTAGAAGAGGCCATTCTCCTCTTCAAGATGGCATGGGATCCATGCCCGTGCCAGAGTCCTGCAGTCCCAGGAGTGCCCGAAGCGGTGGTAGTTTCTCCCTGCCCAAGAGAGCCTGATCTGCCAGTTTCTGCTTCTCCTGTTAGGTTTAACTGTCCCTTACTTACACACCTCTCTCTCTCTCTCTCTCTCTCTCTCTCTCTCTCTCTCTCTCTCTCTCTCTCTCTCTCTCTCTCTCTCTCTCCTTTCATCC